TTTTCAATTCCGTGTGTTTACACAGATATATACAATCTCATTATGTGTTAGTACTTATATATTCGCCTAGTCTGGTGGCGACTGGTAGCTTTTGTCACCCTTGCAGTCCGGGTTCGAATCCCTCCTTCTCCCACTTTCGCTCTTTTTTTTTTTCCTTTTTTTCTTCCGTCTTCTCTCCTTCTTCTTCCTCTGAACTGTGTAACGCAAATCTAGGGTTTTTTTTGTACTTTGTGAATTCCAGATCAATGTTTTCTGTAATTACATCGTCGTTTCCTTATCATCAATCCTTTGTTATGTGCCCTAATTTTGGAGAAAAAATTTGAAACTTTCATGTACAAATGGCCATTAGAGAAAGCAGATCGGAGAAAGTTCAGAGGATAATCGAGCTAGTCGACGGGAATCGCGATGATGGGTTTAACTGAGAAGAGATGGCGACGGCGACGGAGCTTTGGGTTAAATGAGGAGGAAGGAGAAAGAGAGAAATGGCGGAAGGGAAGGAAAAAAAAATCAGTGGTTTGTAATGGGGAGGATTCGAAACCGAGTTCTATGGATGACAAAACACACCTCTTACCACTAGACTAGGATAATATATTAATAATTGTAATACATAGACATCTATATATTTATAAACACGGGGGTTGAAAAATTTAACACCGGTTATTGATTCCGTAACGGCCATTAACGGACGTTAAATCACGGTTTTGAATCCACCAACAAGTCAAATATAAGGAATTTTTAGACTAAATTTTATTAATTGAGGTATTTTTATTCCAATCTAAAACAATTGGGTATTAAACGTCCAAATAAAAATTACTTTGGGTTTTTTGGGGAATTTTCCCGGAGTTTTAGTGAGAGAAATTATGAAACCACATAAACTATTAGACTGGTACACAACCATTTTGAAAAGAGATATTTTCACATAAATTCACATGTTGAAATAAACGATTAAAAACATGCAATAATTCTCTGAGAAATGGAGGAAGTTTATCATTGAATAATAATTAGAATGAGATCATATTGGTTATCGCAAAGGTTAGATGAAGAATGTCGAAGATATCATCGACACTTATTACTATACGCCATACTCTACCCAAGTTTCAACTAATGATATACTTTGTTCCTCTCATCGTCTATTTATTCTGCAAAAACTCAAACCTAGAAATTTAACACCATGTGAACAACGATTGTATCGCTAAGAAAATGAGACCAAAACATTAGGACTAACCAAGGTAAGATTGATCGAAGCATGGGCGGGAGTGGAGAATAGACGGTTGGTGGCTCAGTGGAAGCCTAATTGATTGTGCCAGTAGATAGATTGTTAGTGAAAAAGTACAGACTACCGCATTGCGGGAAAAGGACTTGAGGGTTCTCCAAATAAAAATGTTTCATGGTTTTTGTTTGGAAGAGATTAGAAGAGACCAAATTAATTAGAAAAAATGATTTAGAAATTATCTATGAAAAAATTCAGAAGAAGTTACAAATGCAATTTTTTTTCACGGTTTTATAAGATGTAATGATGCTGAAGAAGCATAACTAAAGGGTGGTGAGAAGAGGGAGAAGCGATGCTTCACAAAAAAGACAAACAAAATGTTGCAACTGAAAAAGCCACAACCACAGGATTAAGAAGAAAACTAACCTCAACCGTTGGATTAAAAAGATTACATAGATTACATCGAAGACGTGTCATTTGATTTTGTCTTCACTTTCTCGAAGTTGATTTTGCATTGTCATGTATAAGGGATAGCAGTCCCCCTACACCCAGTGCCGGCCCGGAGAAAAAGGAGGTCCAATACAAAAAAAATTTTTTTGAGAGGTTTTATATATAAAATTTTAAAATTGAAATAAAATTTAAAATTTTCAAAAAAATGAGGCCTCTTTTTATAATAAACAATAAAAAAAATTAAAATTTGAGATTAAATCTGGAAAGTTTAGAAAAATGAGGCCTATTTTTGCAATTACAAATTATTTTGGGGCCTAAATTTGTTACTAAAAATTTTAAAAAATTTGGTGGCCCAATAGCCATGTGTCTTGGGTATGTGTGGCGGGCCGGGCCTGCCTACACCTTCCTTGGGTGCACACGCACATTAAAACCACATACTCCACGTATCAACAACTATGTATCTATTTCATTCACATGAATTAGGATTACATAATATTTGGTGCCTGCATCAAACTTTTTGTCAAGTCCTATAAAAAATCATTCTGATTTATTAGCATTCTGCAACCAATACAGTACCATCCTCCCGTGAGTGTCATTCTCAAAAGTGAACCTTACTTGTTCTTGCTTTCCAAGTGTGCTCCAGCCTCCAGTGCAGATTCAAATACAAACGGTTTACAATGACAAAGAATAATGACGATTGGATTTAGAAAAGATAAGAATCTTCATTTTGTTGATAGAAGCATCAACTTCTTTCTGGAGTTCATGTAGCAAAACATCAACGAATATTTATATCTAAATTCAATTATTCAGTGAGTCATAAGTCTATAAAATCAACCAAAACAGCAAATCTCAAAGGTAGAAAAATTTGAATACATGATGTCACACTACTGTCCACAAAAATAAATTGTAATTACACTGTCGCTTTAAAAATCTATTCAATGACATCTAAAAAGAACAATTTTAACAAGAGAGATATATGAAGACATGAATCTAAGTTTACCGAGTTTGAGTGACACAAAAACGATGAGAAAGGTGGACAACCATTTTGGACGGAGATATATAATTGATTCAAGCAGATTTACGTACAAGTCCAATTAAACAATCAAAATTCAGATACGAACTAATCAAAGGGTTTAAAACTGAGTAACCATAATTAATCCTCTTTAATAAATCATTTCGGCAATTAGATTAAACAACGTCATTTTAACGTTTCTAAATCGTTGGATCAAATTCTGTATCAACCCCCAAAACAATGAAGAAGACTACGAGACAAAACGAATCAACCGATGCTTGAGTAACTCTATGGCAATTTTTAGTTTTTGATAGTTTTTATTCGTCTCATCATCAGAATATACTGAAGAAACCTAAACCCAAAAAAATCAATACGTACTATGTGACCTGCAATTGTATATTTATAAAAAGAGGCAAAGACACTAAAACTTACCAAAGTGAGATCGATTGAAATGTGGACGGGAGTGTACATTACAGCAGAGGATCACTGCCTCAGTTTGCGCAAAATCGACTGCGTAGAAAATCGGTTTGGAGAAACTACGGCGCCGTCGTGGGAAAATGATTCAGAAGATGGTACGAAATTGACTATTGTTTTACGGTTTCAATATGTATAAATGACGATGAAGAAGCACAGCGGAAAGTGGTGAGAACTGAGAACAGGGAGATGCGATGCTTCACAAAGGAACATGAACAGAAGGATGCAATTGAAAAGACACGTCCTTTGCTATAGTTAATTTACGAGAAAAAACCACAGCCCTAAGATTAAATGAAAACTAACCTCAACTGTTAGATTAAAAAGATGACATCAGCAGACCCAAAAAAGTGGGTTTGCTATTATATATAGATTGAACTACTGATTTATTTTTACCTACCTTTGTTTGTTTGAATTTCAAATCACATAACAAGTATACGAGGTATGTTAATCTCATATGCAAGATAGAGTCTCTTGCTAGAGACATTTAGATCTATGATGGTCTTTCATTGGCAAAGTTAGCATCTTTCAGCCAATTGCTTTTCTATTGACCATGTCATGATCATAATCGGAGCAAGAGTTGCCGGTATAGAGTTTGTCAGTTACTATTCCTATCATCTTTCTTGTGCATGTAGAGATGATGAATTTTAAGTAACTAATCACTATGAAGGGAGAAAGAGAAGAGAATGATCATAAGCTCTCACAATCTCCTAAACGTAAGTGCTGCCTTGAAATAATAGCCGGTGATATCAATATTCCTTTCGATCTGACGGTGGAGATACTGAAGAAACTCCCGGCCAAGTCTCTTGTGAGATTCTAATGCGTCTCCAAGCAATGGTCAACCATAATCGGCTCCCGGAAAACTCCCGGCCAAGTCTTCTTCTCATCATCTCACATTTCTCTCTTCTACAATATTTCTCTCTCTAGATTCTGTTCAGGAACTTGTCTTAAAAACTCTCACTCTCCCCCAAACTTAACAAACATACAAGCAAAACACCCAATGGGTCTCACTTCTCTTCAAGTTTGCATGGATTCTGATTGGCTCCAGGTATTTTCACTTAGACTTCCATCGTTTGTATTTGTGTTTCTTTTCCAAATAAGAACATAAGACTTCACACATTGCAAGCAAAAATTCCTTTGTTAATTAGTTTTAAAAAGTAAATGTCAAT